TAGATGATTTGTTTGACCAACTTCGAGGGTCTCGTTGCTTCTCAAAAATAGATTTGAGGTCGGGGTACCATCAGTTGAGAGTCCGGGGAAGGAGGACATTCAGAAAACGGCCTTTCGTACGCGTTATGGCCACTATGAATTCCTTGTAATGCCTTTTGGGTTAACCAATGCACTTGCTTCCTTTATGTATTTGATGAACGGAATTTTTTGGGAATACTTGGACCGTTTTGTGGTCGTCTTTGTGGATAACATCTTACTTTATTCAACCTCCGAGGACGAACACGAGGCTCACTTATGGGTAGTGCTTGAATTGCATGAGAAACACCGTTTGTATGCCAAGTTTGAGAAATGCGAGTTTTGGTTAACTGAGGTAAAATTTTTGGGGCACGTAGTGTCAAGAGAGGGAGTAACAGTAGACTCCTCAAAGATAGATACTATACAAGATTGGGAACTACCCAAGAATGTTTTTGAGATCCGGAGTTTCTTGGGATTAGCGGGGTATTATCGACGTTTTGCTAGGGACTTCTCTAGACTAGCTGCACCTTTGACTAGGTTGACTAGAAAGGGTATCAAATTTGTGTGGAGTGAGGCTTGTGAAAAGCCATTCCAAGAACTTAAGACTAGATTGACCACCACACCGGTCTTGATAATTCCGGTAAGGGATTTGAATTACATTGTCTATTGTGATACGTCCAGGGATGGACTTGGTTGTGTCTTGATGCAAGAGGGAAAAGTTATGGCCTACGGTTCACGACAATTGAAAACTCATGAGAAAAATTACCCCACCCATGATCTAGAATTAGCAGCGGTGATTTTTGCTTTGAAAATTTGGAGGCATTACTTGTACAGTGAGAAGTTTGAAGTCTTCTCCGATCATAAGAGTCTAAAGTATTTGTTTTCTCAAAAAGACTTGAATTTACGACAACAAAGGTGGATGGAATTTATGGAGGATTCTGATTTTGAGTTATACTATCATCCAGGGAAGGCCAATGTGATGGCCGATGCTTTGAGTCGAAAATCTGTGAGTAGTTTGGCAATTGTGGCCATTCAAGAATGGGATATGCTAAATGTTATTAGCAAGTTTGATTTGCACTTGGGTGAGTCCAGAGAGAGTGCTACCTTATTTACTTTGAACGCTCAACCTACCTTGGTTAGTAAGGTCATAGAGGCACAACGAGGAGACCGTGATGTGGAATCAATCCATGTTAAGATTTCCAATGGAAAGGAAGAGAAAGGTTTGAACGTTCACTTGGATCTAAGTGTACGTTACCTAGACCGTTTATTTGTACCAGAATCTTGTAGAGAGGAAGTACTTCAGGAGTTCTATCACTCACGCCTTGCGGTACACCCAGGAGGCACTAAAATGTGTCATGATCTTAGTCGTCAGTTTTGGTGGAGGGGTATGAAATGGGATGTCGCTTTATTTGTATCAAAGTGCCTTACTTGTCAACAAATGAAGGCCGAACACCAAAGACCAACGGGTTTGTTACAACCCTTACCAATAGCTGAGTGGAAATGGGAGCGTGTTACCATGAATTTTGTAGTTGGGCTTCCTACAACACAATGAGGCAATGACGTCGTCTGGGTGATTGCTGATAGGTTGACTAAGTCTACCCATTTCATTTTGATGTGCACCAACAACTCAGTTGAACGCTTGGCAGAGTTGTACATCAGAGAGATAGTTCGACTTCATGGAGTCTCTGCGACTATTGTGTCGGATAGGGATCCTCGTTTTACTGCCCGGTTATGGCAAAGCCTTCAAGAGGCGTTGGGAACTAAGTTGACTCTTAGCACCGCTTATCATCCTCAAATTGATGGACAGTCAGAACGTACCATTCAGATTTTGGAGGACATGCTTAGAGCTTGTGTCCTTGATTTTAAGGGGCCTTGGGAAAAGCACTTACCATTGATTGAGTTTGCTTACAACAATAGTTACCAAGATAGTATTGGGATGGCACCATTTGAGGCCTTATATGGCCGACCTTGTAGATCACCGGTTTGTTGGGCCGAAGTGGGTGATGCACCATTACTGGGTCTAGAAATTGTTAGAGAAACAACCGAGAAAGTTGTTCTCATTCGGAAGAGGTTAGCTATGGCCCAAAGCTGACAAAAGAGTTATGCCGATAAGAGGAGACGACCTTTATCTTTGGAAGATGGTAACCATGTGTTTCTAAAAATCTCACCAAGGCGAGGTTTGATAAGATTTGGTAAGAGTGGTAAATTTTCTCCATGGTTCAGTGGGCCTTTTGAGATCTTAGAGCGAATTGGGGAAGTGACATACCGGTTAGCTTTTCCGCCACAACTTTCGAGAGTTCAAAATGTATTTCATGTATCCATGCTTAGGAAGTATGAACCCAACCCTTCTCATGTTCTTGATTAGGTTGACTTGGAGATAGATAAGGATGCCACTTACGAAGAACGACCGGTTCAAATATTAGATACCCGGGAGCAAGTGCTACGGGGTAAAACTATAACATTGGTGAAGGTGTCGTGGAGGTACCATGGGGTTAAAGAGGCAACGTGGGAACGGGAGGCGGAAGTCCACTCCAAATATCTGAATTTATTTGAAAATGCTTAAGTTTCTTTTCTTTGTAATATTCCCTAGTGTTGAGGGAAAACCTGTTTAAAGTTGTTAACCACATGTTGATATGTGCATTGTTGTTTTAAGCATAAGATTGTTTAGAGTTGCCATTACTTTTTGAGAAATTTCATGTTTATGCATATTTGGGAGGTTGTTGTTAATTGGATAACGATGGTGGAAATGGTGGAATTTGGTTGAGAGTTAGTATTGTGATTTCAAAATGAAATAGCGTGGCTTTGATCGCTAGAAACCCCTTTGTTTGGGTAGTTTGATTTGAAATTTCGGAAATGAAATTCTTTAAGGGGGGAAGGTTGTAGCGATCCCGGTTTCGATCCTTCTTTCATGTTTTGCCACTTCGACTGGGCCGGTCGGGGGTCGAGCTGCCTGGTCAGCTCGCGGGGGTCCAGGGGGCAGCGCCCCTTGGCGGGTCCAAGGGCAACACCCTGGTAGGGGTCGAGCTGCCCGGTCAGCTGGCGGGGGTCTAGGGGGCAACGCCGCTTAGCGGGTCCTAGGGCAGCGCCCTGGCGGGGTTGAAGGGCAATGCCCCAAAACAAAAATGCAAAATGCATTCGAAGATGCTTGTCCGCTCGAGCGGCCATTTATGCACTCGAGCGAAGAATGTTTGGTTTCAGAAGTTTGACCTGTCTGCAAAAGTACTAGGTTAGTGTATTGGACGCTTGAGCGGGGCATTCCACGCTCGAGCAGACCATGTTATATCATTTCGTGAATCTAATATTTCATATCACTTTTTTAGTCCTCTCTCTCTCTCTAAAACTCTCCAGAATTTCAGATCGGGAGCTTCTCTCTCTATAAGTCATCTTCTCTCGAGGGCTTCGTTGTGTGCGATGAAGATCGAGTTTCGACACTGTTGATTTTAGGGGTTTCTTCTCATTTCTTCTTCAAAACTTGAGGTAGGGATTTTCTTAGAGTTATATATATATATATGTTTTTGCAAGATCTAGATGATTTTCGAAATCATCCTTTGATTAACTTTGAGAAATTGATTGTTGATTTCAAGATGATGAGTGATTTTGAAAGAGGGTTTAATTTCTTTTCCTTTTAAAATAGAAATTGAAGGTTTTGAACCATATTGATTGAAGAAAGACGATTTTGGGGAGATTCTTCTAAATATCTTGGAGATGAATGGTTTTGGTGAGAAAACCTAGAAATTGGGTCTTTTTTTTTTAAAGATGTTGAAAATCCTTGGAAGATGTTGTCATATTTATTTTGTATACCAAAATAAATGGATGCTTTGAAAATTGTTTATTTATATATAAATGACGAATTTTATGAAAAAAATGAGAAATGTTGTTTATTTTGGAAATTGTTGTCAAAATGTTGATTTGGTCTTGAATTGACTAAATTGTTGAGATTGCTTGAAATGTGGGAATTACGTTATTCTCTTGAATGAATTGGATATCAAAGTATATATATATACGTCTTGTGGAATTGTGTTGAAAAGAGGATTGGGAATTTTGATCACAATGGTATATTGTGTGGAACAATTGAATATGGAAGTAATGTTGCATTGCATTATTAAGCATACATTGGCATTTCAATTCATTGAACTATGTTACGCTTTGGAAATTTGCATTGAGAAAAGAATGTTGGGAAATGGTTTTCATGAAATGGTTTTGGGATAAATACGGTGGTAAGTCTTGATAGGTGGTGTAGATGAAATTGTTTAAGTTAGCTTAAGTGTCCTTGGGGCAAGACCAGAAAGTTGCGCAGATAGGTGTCGAGCCTTCCGGTTAATACCAGTAAAAATGACAATTGGTAGTACTCATATAGCCTACCTGCAGACACCAACCTAGGGATTACCAGAGTTATATTTACCGCCCCCTTTAATTAAATTGATAATTTTTGAATAGTTGAAGTTGCATAACATCATTGAGCATGATAGTTTTCAAAAGATGAAGATGTGTTTTATTTTCAAAAAGGCATGGCATGGCATGTGCATTCATCTCCTGAGACTTGTATAAAGTGTATATACTTTGTTAAGGATTTCCTACTGGGCTTTATGCTCACCTTACCGGATTTTTGTGCAGGAAAAGACGTAGTGAATCCGCCTAATTGAAGGCGTGGAAATCTGTGTGTTGAGAGCACTAAAGTTCTCATTTGCTGTGATCCTATTTGTAAGCCAAGGGCTATGTATGTGTGGGTTTGAATAACCATTTTGTGTACCAGGCTTAAGCCTTGGAAGATTGTAAACCCTTGGGGTGCTTATTTGGTTATTTACTTGTTGTTGAATCAATGTAATATCGCATGAGGACCTATTATTATTATGTAATGCAAGTATGGGAAGTTATATTTGGTTTTTCTTTAAGAGAGCCATGATTGTTGCATTATCATTTGGGCTAGAAATTTGGGGCGTTACATCAACCCACCCCACACACACCCTTGTGCAAGAGAGGTCATCATGGTCTTGGACGGTACTCTCTACGTCGGTTTCGTGACCCCCAACACTGACAACCGTCTCTTCACAAAGGTCTTGTACCCAAGAGATGTTTTTGTGTTCCCCCAAGGTCTTATTCACTTTCAATTTAATAATGGAAAGACTAATGCAGTAGCTCTTGCTGCCCTAAATAGCCAAAATCCGGGAACTATTACTGTTGCTAATGCGATGTTCGGGTCAAATCCGAGGATTTCTGATGATGTTCTTGTCGAGGCATTCCAAGTGGACAAGAAGGTGATAGACTATCTTCAAGCTCAATTTTGGTGGCCCAACAACTAAAGAAAGAAAGATTGGAGAACCTATGAATCTATTATTTGTTAAACTTTAAATAAATATGTTGCAATATAGCATAAATAAGTGGATTGTTATTTTCCTATGATTTTATAATAATCAAGTTTGTTAAATAGTATTCTCTCTCTCTCTCATAAAATGATGACACTCTCTTGATCTTTTTCTAGGCTCCTTATTGATATAATGATGACACTATTGATCTTTCTCTAGGCTCCCATTTCAAAATTTTGGTTATGGTAATCTTCCAATTATTTTTGGCCTAGCATTGGCCTGACTTGACTGAACCCTAAAACATATGGGTTGGGGTTGGGCTTAGATTGAAGGATAGGGATTCTGGGCCTCATGGGTGTTTTGAGGCCTGACCCGAAACTCGACCCATAGGACCATCCCAAAAGCCCACATTGGACCTATATACACTACACAATTGGGTTTTTTTTTTCACATTTTTTCCCCTCCTTCTTACGAGAATATATCCTTTTTTGGTAAATAATAATTTTAACAATAAAAAAATTAGCATGCCATCTATATGAAACTAGTAATTAAATTTCTATGAGACTAAAGATGCATATAATTCAATAACATAATCATAACATAGGTGATTTTGTATTTCAATAAATAAAAAAAATTTAAAAAAAAGAAAAAGAATTCATGATTGAAAAACTGACTATAGTTGTTCTAATGTACTTCAAAATTTTGTATTACAAATCTTTATTTTTTAATAACTTTGGAATTTAATAAAAAAAAATCAGAATTAAAGCTAAAAGTTATGTCAAATTAGGCCCATATGAGCTAAGCCTGCCCTGAGACCCATAGGCCCATTTTTTTAAGCACATGAATGGGTTTTAAAAATATAAGATGGGTGGGCTTGAACCCAGCCTATTATTGACCAGTTAAAGTTTTATGGATGTGGGCTATACATTCAACTTAAAACCATTGATTATGAGTGGAGAGACTTTTATCATGCCAATGTTGTATTGTTAGTTATTTTCATGAATATTTCAAAGACTAAATAAACGAAATTGATAATGTAAATATGAAATAAATAAGACTGTGATAAAATTATAATCAACTCAAAAAAATAAATGAATAGTATTTGTCACTTAATATTTAGAATACAAAATTTATGACAACAAAATAAAAATATTAGCTTTGTTTTCTTTAATCTTATTAAAAGTAGTCAACATAACAACGGTTAATTGATGAAAAACCAAATCCTATGGGGTCATATGTTATTTAATCTAAGGTTTAATCTTTTTTGGTGATAAGGACATGTGTTGAAAAATAGTTGGCGCCGAAAAAGTCTCTAAAAAATTGATAGGAAAAAGTAGCCAGTGGCTGGTGGCAATGAAGTAGACTGATAGATGACAATTGTTAGATGAGTGAATAGATAGGTGATACGTGTACAAATATGTGAACATTTGAATAGATAGGTGACACATGTATAAATATGTGACGTTTTGAATAGATAGACAAATAGCTAAGATTTGAACAGACATGTGTCATTTTGGCCCAAGAAGGTTTTAGTTTGGGCCTATTGGCCCGAAAGTTTCAAGAATGGACCTTTGGCCTCAAAGCATCTACAACAGGCTTTTTAAAAGAGGCATCTTGGCTATTATAGTTACCATTGTCCTATTTTACCTCTTCCAATGGACTAGCTACTACATTAATCATTTTAACAAAAAAAATCCAAGCTAGCTACATATAGAGAGCTTTGGGAGGCTCTTTCAACAGTTTGTGTGGATAAATATGTAAAATAAAGAATAGCATTGGAGTTTCTTTACGTGCCTATCTAACTATAACAAATTTATAAAAGTTATTGCATTTTTTTTAAACAAAAACTCAAAATTATAGGATAAATTATAAATATACCCCTTGACATTTACATAGAAGATGGATTGTTCCCTGTGATTTTAAAAATTACATCTTGTCTCTTGAAATTCTTGATATCATAACAAATGACCATTTTTATTAATAAATTATTAAATTAATCAACAGTTTTTCATGATGTCAAAAATTTATTTTCATTAATAATTTAAATAATTTTATCATTGTATAGGAGAGCAATTATGAATTTTATTTTTTAAATTAATCTTGTTAAATAAAAAATGCTGACAAGGAGATATTTTCAAATCACAGAAGGTAATTCATATTTTAAGCAAATCTCAAGAGATATTTTTATAATTTATTCTAAATTGTTATTTTGAGAAGTGCTAAATAAACTATTTTTTTTTATTTATTAAAAAAAATTAAAAAATAAAAAGATGATGCTACTTAAATAAATCAAATTATCAATAAATTGACTTATATAAATCATTTCCCAAAAGATGACTAAAGACCTATTTTGACAATACGATTAAAAGTTAATTTTTAATTTTTTTAACTTTTTAAAGAGCGTCATTTTTTATTTTCTTACACATTATTTTAAAAAAAAAAACTTTAAAAAATTTAAAAATCAATTTTTAACCTATATCTCTAGGCCAAAAATCCAAATTTAAGAGGATAAGGGACACTACTTTAAGGGAGTCCAGATCCTCTGCCGTGGTTCCCTGCAATACTTCCTGCCGTGGTACTGAAACGACGTCGTTTCCATCTTTTTTTTTTTTTGTTTTCTTTCTTTCTTCTTTTCTTTTGTCCATTGTCTTCTCTCTCTGAGGTAGGCTGAGAACCCTAACCCATCCGAGGAGCAAAACAGAGATACGAAACAAAAAGGAGGGCGATGGCGGCGAGGCAAGGCGATGCGGTGTGATGCGGCGGCGGAGGTGAGGCGAAGGCGAGGCGACGGTAATGGATTTTCAACCTCCTCCTCCTCTATCTCTCCTCCTCCTCAACCTCCTCCTCCTTCTCGTAGATCAAGTGGGCTACTGGCATATCGTCCATAAATAACAACCACAGTTTGCAGAATGGAATGGAAAGGCACATATGACCAAGTCACAAAAAAGGTTTCAAATTTTCAATTTCAGCATAATTTTTTCAGAGGCAAAACTAAATATCTAAATGCTGAGTATTTTGAGTACAAAACACAACCAAATTTTAAACATTTCAAAATATGGTTGAAAGTTAAAATGTGAGTTAGTTCTTCATCAAATTGATAAGAGAAGAAAGAAAAAAAATTAAGGAGTTTTTATTTACTTTAACTGTTATGAAATTTCTTGCTGATAGCAAGAATGAATGTTCTGATTAACGTTCAATTTGCAAAGGGAAACAAGAACCCAGCAGACCAAGCAAAAATTAGTTTTACCAACGTGTTAGGTAGCACTCAGTAAGTTCCCAGAAAAACACATAGCAAATATCCTTGACTCTATGTAGATCATAACATGCTAGCAAATTTTATAGCAATAGTGGGTACTTGTTACATATGTCTTGCTGAAAAAATACATAAAACTTCCCATGAAATGCCCAAGAGAGAGCATGAAAATATTGAAACTTATTGTGTTCAATGAAGTTTCATACCTCAGAGGTGAAACAATCTTGTTGTTCGTATCTGAAACAGCAAGGCCAACATATTTATCATGAACTTCCAGACCAAGCAAACGCCTTCGTTCTAATGGTTTTGTCTTCATCAAATCATGGAACAAATTGAATGGCGAGAAGAAGATGAAGCCCCTTTTTTTCAGAGGCTTTGGGGGCTGTGACAGCGGCGACGGTAGCATGAGAGTTTTCCGATGAGGTAAGGAGGTGAAGGGTCTCGTTGGTGATGCCGGTGATTTCCCTTTCTCTTCCTTCCTTCTTCTTCTCTGTCATCCTTGTGGTATCTCTCTGATTTGGGTCTCAGAGTTGGGAATGGAGTGCAAGAGAGGAGCTGGGGAAAGAAAAAAAAAAGAAAAAAAAAAGGAGGTGTCAAAACGACGTCGTTTTAACACCACAGCAGGAACCACTGCAGAGGATCTGGACTCTTGATTAATATCCTTATTGGTGGGATTGTGTCAGGGTATTATTGTCAATTCGTTAAAATATTTACTAATCAATATGTTATGCAGCACTAGTCAGTATTGACCTTAGATCACTCAATAATTTTTCCAAAATTGAAACTCTATATCTATTAAAAGAAAAATGTTATACATATTAATAAATTTTATAACAGAAAATTCAAAAATTAAAACATAATTTACTTCAATAATATTGTTAGTACCGCAACAATAAATTTTTTAAAAAAAGTTTAACAATTTTTTTTAATGACCAAAAACCCATCTTAGTTAGAGCATTTTGAACCCATGTGAAGAAGATAAGTGGGAAGTTGACAGGCCATCCCTTACACTTATGAATGGAAAAAATAAAAATTTTGATAATTTGTATAAACATTATTCACTTGTAAAATATTTGTTCCTATATTCTTAATGCACTTTTAATTATAAAATATAAAAAGAATTTGAAAACAAGAGAATTTTGAACCTAGTTGCAAATACATGTAAAGATACATGAGTTTTGAAATCACAATTAAAAATATGAGAGATTATATTAATATGTGTTATTAAGACACATGTTAATAAATATATAAATATAAATATAAGAGAATATTTAAAATAATTTAAATAAATATATTTTTAATATTTTATAAAAAGATATATAAAAAATAAAAAATTATTTATATAATGAAAAAAATATGTTACTAATATAAAAAATGACAAATAGTACCTAAATAAAAGGACAAATGATTTTAAAACACATATCTTGTAGGTAGACTTGGTCATGTCATGTACTAACTAACCATCAACCATGACAATGAATCAATGAACTTCCTAGAAGATGACCAAGACTCGGACTTCCTTCCGATAGGTGACACAGGAAGAAAGGATGACGTAGGGACCCACCATTCAGCCACATGTACCGATGCACTCACACGTGGCAGCTTGCCGTGCAATCTGAATCTGAGTGCGGCGAAGGCTAGCTAGCTTGAGGTAACTCTATAAATACAACACCTCCCTTTAACGTTGTTTACTCAAACCTCTTCCTTTTGCGTGTGTTTCAAATTACAGTGTTATATCGCTTTT